ACCTAGCAGATGATGACGATCCCTCCCCCTTCCTTACTCCTTTTGCAACCTCTGAATGGAGTGAAAACCTTCCGTGGGAACCCCAAATTCCGAAGGATGCAAATCCTAACCGCGTGTGCATTATTGTGAGCCCCCCCCACCGAACCCTGAAAAAGCAGAGAGACACAACACCCAGGGAAGATCGAGGGTGTTGGTGAAGAGTTCACCCCTCTTTTTCCTGTGCCAACTTTCCCACCCCCCTACGCTGGCCGTTCTCTCCGCTGGCATTTAAACCTCTTTATAAATGTTGGCGGGCCTGGCTTTAAATGCATTTCATTTTTAAAAGCGTGGCTGGGAGGCCCTGGAAGTCCATAAATAAGGAGGTGCACACCTCCTCTCCAGTGGCTACTCAGCTTCAGAAAGCTTTCCAGGAGGGTTGTGAGAATAGATATATATATATTTTTCCCCCTTTGGGCAGATTCACGGCTGCTGACTCGGCAACGGCTGACGAACGAGGAGGCACTCTCTGCTGGCAGGGAGTTTTTCCAGGGCTCGCCAAGGATCCATCAAAGGCCATGATTTAGGGGGACTCCCCGGGCATCTGAAGGGCGTAGCATATCAGTCCCAAAGGGGGGCAATATCCCAGGCATCTCGAGGTCTCCGTTTGCTATTAAAACTTGTCAGAAAATGTGGCACAGGCTGGCCGGAAGGGCACGACTCGTCTGTCTAACAAAATGAAATTCAACGTAGAGAAAAGTAAAGTCCTACACTTAGGTAAGAAAAAACAAAAGTACACATATAAACTGGGGGAAATCAGGCTTAATGGCAATGACTGTGAGAGGGATCTTGGAGTCTTAGTGGACAACCAACTAAATACGAGTCAAGAGTGTGCAGCGGAAGCCAAAAAAGCCAACGCAATCCTAAATTGCATTAACAGAGGGATTGAATTAAGATCAAGTGAGGTACTAATACCACTCTATAAAGCCTTAATAAGACCACACCTAGAGTACTGCATCCAGTTTTGGTCACCACACTATAAAAAAGGATGTTGAGACTCTAGAAAAAGTGCAGAGAAGAGCAACCAGGATGATGAGGGGACTGGAGGCTCAAACATACGACGAACGGTTGCAGGAACTGGGCATGGCTGGTCTAGTGAAGAGAAGGACCAGGGGAGACAGGATAGCAGTCTTCCAATATTTGAGGGGCTGCCCCAGAGAGGAGGAAGGGGGTCAAGCTGTTTTCCAAAGCACCTGAAGGCCGGACAAGGAATAATGGATGGAAACTGAACAAGGAGAGAGATTCAACCTGGAAATATGGAGGAACTTTCTGACAGTGAGACCAATTAACCCATGGAACAGAAGTTGCCTTCGGAGGTTGTGGGAGCTTCATCACTGGAGGCTTTCAAGAAAAGATTGGACTGCCATTTGTCAGAAATGCTGTTGTTTGAGCGAGTGGGGTTGGACTAGATGACCTATAAGGTCCCTTCCCACTCTGTTAATCTGTCTTTTCCTGGGCTGCGCTTAGAGTCGACTACATCTGAATTTAAATTTAATCTCCCCACCTCCTTCTGTGAATTCTCCAATGTTTGCTTGCCACGTTCTAAGAATTTACCTGCCTCTTGAAGGGGGCCTTCCTCTCTTTCCTGGCGTCGCAAATTCGGGCAAAGCTGGCATCTATCAGCAGGTCTCCGTCCTTCAGCTCCGGGGAAGGCTACTGGTGGCCATTTTATCCTTTTTTAAGTCCTTCAAAGATATATTGAAATGACTGTTTTAACTGCCTTTTTTTTCCTAGCCAGGTGAGACAGTTTAGCAGCCATTCTGTGGTAATTTTTTACACCTGCGGGCCTCAGACTTGGACTCAATCTGCTCAGTTGTGAAGTTTGCCTGGGTGAAGATGTTGGGGGGAGGAGGGGCTTGTTATTCCCCCCTCTGAAATGGGGGCCCAGGGGACAGCCAATATTTCCCCTTTGTGATGCTGTCGATGAGGAAAGCACCTGGCCCATAAAGAAGAATCACCTTTCCTCAAGGTTAAAAAAAATATGGACGTTTTAAAAGGCTCGCCAAGACCGGTGTGTGTGTGTGTGTGTGTGTGTGTGTGTGTGTGTGTGTGTGTGTCTCCAAACTTGGCAACAATAAGACTTGTGGACTTCAACTCCCAGAATTCCCCAGCCAGCATGGCAGGTTGGCTGAGGAATTCTGGGAGTTGAAGTCTTCACAGATCTGAAAGTGACCAAGTTCGGAGACTCCCGTCTAAGGCCGTGGAAGACTGATGGTCAAACGTCGTGGATTTTTCCTCCGCTCGGAAGCGCCTCCTGACTTCGAATGAGAAGGATGCAAACTCCGAGCAGCAACTCATGCAGAGAAGCGACAGGCACCTTCCCTCCCGCTCAATACAATGCCTACTAGGGCGTTGCTCACAGATTAAAACAAAAAAGAGAGCAGGAGCTTCTCAGGGTGGTGAATAGAAGATCCTCTTGAGATTTAAAGTGAGGGCCGCGAGGCTGCCCGTTGTGCCTCTCGATGAGTCCGAACGGGCTTCCTTCCTTCCTCAATGGGAGGGAAAGCTGAAGCTGGATGCAGATGGTTTAGGGAGCAGAATAAACAGAGGTGGAAGCAGGAGGCCTCTGGGGCATCGAAGGAGAGGCTCCCTTTAAGTTCAGAGCTGGAAATTACTTAACTGGACCCCTGTCTTCGCTGTAGCCCCCACAAACTGCCTCTGGGTTCTTGCTACCTCGTTAAGAGCCGAGATGGCGCAGTGGTTAGAGTGCAGTACTGCAGCTACTTCAGCTGACTGCTAGTTCAGCAGATCAGGGGATCAAATCTCACTGGCTCAAGGTTGACTCAGCCTTCCATCCTTCCGAGGTGGGTAAAATGAGGACCCAGATTGTTAGGGGGCAATATGCTACTTAGTATACTGTCGATTGTTGTAAGCCGCCCAGAGTCCTCGGAGAGTGGGCGGCATAGAAATATGAATAATAATTAAATAAATAAATATAATAATAACTGAGCCTGAGTGGCGTAGGAGGCTAATGCCTCCTACTAAGGCAGCATTTAACATCCAGCTGCCTGCAATTACTGCAAGTTCAATTCTCTCCAAGGCTCAAGGTTGACTCAGCCTTCCATCCTTTCTAAGGTAGGTGAAATGAGGACCCAGTTTGTGGGGGCAATAAGCTGACTTTGTATAAAATATACAAAAGTATAAAGGCTATTGCTTAACGCATTGTAAGCCGCCCTGAGTCTCCGGAGAAGGGCGGCATATAAATAAATAAATAAATAAACCCTGTTTTCTCTCCTCACTCGCTCTGCAAAAAACAGATCTTCCAAGGTTCTCCGGGCTCGCACGTCTCCCAGTTGGGCGCTGGGTTCAAATCGCCCCCCCCTTCCCCAAAATTGAAAGAGAACAAAGCCAGGGTCCTAACAGAACCCATTTGCGGCCCTTCTCCCTCTGCAAACACGCCAAGGATTGGAACGGAGACCCCACCCCCCCACCCCCATGCCTGCACTGGAATTAATGAACGAAGCGGGAATCTAATCACGGTGTTTGTTTGCTTATTAAAAAAGGTGGCAGGGGGTGAATCAGTGACCTTTGATTTCTCGGGGCTCTCCCCCCTTACTCCTGCAAAGACCACATCCCGGGAAGATTTCCGAGTTAATATTTTGTCTTAGCAACTGCTAAGGAACGCCTGGTAGGATCCCACCAGCCGCCGAGAAAAAATAATAATGATGCAGGCCCAGAGTTTTTGAGGAACGCGTGCAATTAAAAAAAAAGACATTTCTGCATGGAGTTGAGACGGAAGGAGATTAATCCCGCCATGAGCAGCCTCGCCCCCCCTCCCCTGTTACAAAACCCCACATTGTTTGCATGGCTGTGCAGAATTTATTAGGCAAATATTTCTCAAACGGAGGCTGCTGCATAACGGATTCCTCGGAAGAACCCTCGCCTCTCCCCACCCCCAGATCCTACAACCTTTCCCACTCTTCTTTCCAGCCCCAGAGATCCTTGGATTTCTTTCCTTCTAGGGGCTCAGCTTTTGAGCATCATCTTATGTAAGGTAAAGGTAAAGGTTCCCCTCGCACATATGTGTGAGTCGTTCCCGACTCTAGGGGGCGGTGCTCCTCTCCGTTTCAAAGCCGAAGAGCCAGCGTTGTCTGAAGACGTCTCCGTGGTCATGTGGCCGGCGTGACTCAACGCCAAAGGCGCGCAGAATGCTGTTGCCTTCCCACCAAATGTGGTCTCTATTTTTCTATTTGCATTTTTATGTGCTTTCGAACTGCTAGGTTAGCAGAAGCTGGGACAAGTCACGGGAGCTCACTCCGTTACGCGGCACTAGGGATTCGAACCGCTGAACTGCTGACTTTTCGATCGACAAGCTCAGCGTCTTAGCCACTGAGCCACCCATGTTCCTTAATCTTACGTAGCAGATCCTTTCCTGGGGAGGTGAAATGTGCAATTTTTAAAGAAGTGTGTTCCATCCCATTGTTGGAATGACTGGCGGTAGATTTGCAACAGGCCGCGACGGTGTCGTTACACAAACATCGTGTGCGAAAAATTGGCTGTACGGCCCTACGTTGAATTGTGCCAGGCTGACGGCACAATTCAACGTAGTACCTTAAAGCTTGGAAAATGCGTTCGCCAATTCCACAATTATTCCATGTACTCAAATATTCCTGGCCAGCGAAGTTTTTTGTGTCTTTTTAATGCTCCCCCCCATCACCTGACCCCTCACAATCATTATCTTCTTTTAACGACCCCATAATCCCTTGCGGAGTGGAGTCTGGCCAACTGAATGGAGCTAGCAGGGTGTTTTACTGGCCGGATGCCCTTCCTGTCACCAGGGGGGAGTTTTGTTCAGCAGATGTATTCTCATGGTGACCAGAGAGAGAGAGAGAAAAATGTCTGCCTTTACCTAGGATCGAACTCACAGCCTCCCGGTTGTGAGGCGAAAGCTCCACCTGTAGGCCGCCGCACCACTCCACCCCTTACAATGCATAAAGAAAATTATTTCCGTCACACATAAGATACAGTTACCGTCGGTAGGTTTTTCTGTATTGTTTGTTTTTAATTAAACGGGATGACAAAGCCAGAGACACGGAGAGCAAGAGGCTGATAACAAGACTGTAAATAATTTAGAAAAGGAAAGGAAAAGAAGGTAGAAAGGAAAAGAATAGAAAAAAGTCGATCCACGGAGACATGGAGGCTTGGCGGAGCTGTTTTTTTTTTGGGGGGGGGTGCAGGGAAAGGAGAACCCGGATTGCTAAAATTCACCCCCTTCCTTTCACGTCAGTTCCAAAGTGACTGTAAAGAAGATAGCCAGAAATAGTCTGAAGCCGCACTGGCGACTCGGCGAACCTGCGCAGGATGGAGAAGAAAGGAAAAAAAAAAAGAAAGAAAGAGAGATTTAGAAGGTGCCTCTGGGTTCAAAATTGTAATCCCTTCCCCGCTAACTGCAAAAGCCGCGGATTGCTCGGTTTGGCAGGCATTGTTCTGAAGCATGCAACGGGTAGAAAGCAGAAACGGAGGCCATGCATGGCAAGGGCAGGGAGAGAGATTCAGCCGCAAGGGAAGTCAAATCACATGCAGAAGCCCACAAGAACGAGACACGGACCCCGAGCACGGATTCTAGAGTGGGGGTCACCAACCTTTCGGACCTCAGGGACCACTAAATTCATAATTTTAAATCCCGCGGACCACTAATATGATCAGCCTAAGGACCGGGTGGGTGGGCGTGGTTAGGTGGTCATGTGACTGGGTGGGTGTGGCCAACTCGATGCCGCTCGCATCGAGGGGGCCCTTGCCGGCCTCTACTTGCCCCTCTCCTCCTAGCCACTCCTCGCCTGCCCACCCGAGCTCCTTAGGACCCCAACGGGAAGCAATTGTTGGAGCAGCCACTACGAGAAAGTGTTGGCAAAACAGCTCAGTTGAAATTGGCTCTGACTGAGAAGGAGGCTCAGCAGAAGCACCTCACTGAGGACTAGGAGCATAGGCTTTCCAAGCAGAGGGAAGACCTGCGGGAGTGCAAGGCCAGGTACAGGCGCCTGGAGGCTCAGTGGGCTGAGATGGTCAGCCAGTTCCAGGCCATGAGGCAGTCCCACTGGAACGAGGGCCTCCGGCTCTTCGCCACCAGCGGCACTTCCCTCCAGCCTTCGCCCAAAGCCCCACACCAGGAGGCTGAAGCAGACCCCACGTCAGAATTTCTGCCCCCCTAACCTGCACAAAAAGACTCCAAAGGGGGAGACTCTCTACAGCAACCCAAACGGAAAGAGCGGAGGTCGGGGGCCATCCGGAGCCCCATGGGTAACCCATTCCAGAGGGTCGGTGCGCCCACAGAGAACGCCCTCATCCTGGGCGCCACCAGCCGACATTGTCTGGTTGATGGCACCCGGAGGAGGGCAGTCCTATGTGGGCGGTGGGAGGCAGGCAGAAGGTGGTCCTGCAGTACCCTGGGCCCATGCCATGTACGGCTTTATAGGTATGTACCAGCACCTTGAAGCCCTTTCAGAGGGAGTAAGCAACTCCCCTCCCATCAAGAGTGATGGATAGACCATGAGATGCCAGTAACCACAGCTACTCCGTCTTGGAGGGGTGGAGTCTGAGCCTGTTCCTACCCATCCAGACCTGTAATATAAAAAATGCATATAATTTTTCTGCGGACCACCAAACTTTTCTCACGGATCACCAGTGGTCCACGGACACCAGTTGGTGGCCTCTGTTCTAGAGGGTTTAGGAAAGAAAACTGGGGCAGGACAGGAGGAAAATCTCTGCAAACGTTCAAGAAGCGGCAACGGAAGCGAACGCGGCTTACAAGGAGGCTGGGTTGGACGAGGGGTGGGGGGGAGCGGGCGGCTTACCGTTAGAGTCTTCTGTTCCTCTTGGAATATTGGGGTTTTCTAATCAGAAAGGGGGCGGGGTGGGGAGAAAACAATAAGACGGTCATTGAGCATCGGGAAAATACATGCGAGGGTGAGGTGGAATGGATGGTGGATGGGTATGAATGGATGCTGGCGCCAGGATGAGGAATGGATGTCGCGGGGAGGGATGGTTGGAGGCTGGGGAAGGAGAGGGGGGGGACGGACGGAGAGCAGGAAGGATGGCATGGCTCTGCTGGGTCCCCCCCCCTAAAGTCAACCTTGCAGTCTTCCTACCACCCCAAGGGGGGTGGAGGTGTCCTTCTCTTGCAGGGAGCATGCCGCTGGAAAGACATCAAGAGACCCACAAGAAGGTTGGATGGGATGGTTGAGATGTCAACAACGAGTCGGAAGGTGGGGGGGGGAGAGATGATCCGAGATGAGCCGTCAATGGAGGAATAGGGGCTCCCCCCTACCGAACACTATCAGCCTGGTGTGGGTATCGGTGGAGCCCAAAGGATTCTGCGCCGTGCAGCGGTACATCGAGCCGTTCAGTTCAGCCGGCACGCGTTCCAACACCAGCTCTTTTCCGTCGTGTTCGGCGCTGCCGTCCAGGAGCCGGCTCCCGACACGGGTCCAAGTGAACATGGGCTCGGGGAAGACTTCGTTCTGGAACCAAGGATTCCCCCCACCCCCACAACCCCAAACAGGTCAGATCAACCAACAGCACTGGAGGGAAAACGGGTTGTACGCTTATCGCCTTGAAGGTTCTCCTGGGGTTCTTCTCAACCCTGGAACCATCGTCTGGATGGGGAGAAGCAACTTAACGAGGGACCTGGGTTGGCTTCAAGAGTCCAAAGCATGGCCATAAAGCTCCTTGGAGAACCTCATCGCAAAGCAATTTAATTGCCCTGCGGCAGGAAAAGCTCTTGGTGAGAACATACTTCTCAAACGTTGGTGTTTCAGGTGACTCTGGTTAGATAATTGTTCTCGGGAGGAGACAGAGAGAGGTTCAAAGGAATCACAGAGCTGGAAGGGACCTTGGAGGTCTTCTAGTCCAACCTCCTGCTCAAGCAGGAAACCCTATAATCTTTTCAGACCAACGGTTTGAGAAGTAGGTTGGACTAGAAGACCTCCAAGGCAGTGGTGAAATCCAATTTTTTTCTACCAGTTCTGTGGGCGTGGCTTGGTGGGCGTGGTGTGGCTTGGTGGGCGTGGCAGGGGAAGGATACTGCAAAATCCCCATTCCCTCCCCACTTCTGGGGGAAGGATATTGCAAAATCTCCATTCCCACCCCACTCTGGGGCCAGCCAAAGGTGGTATTTGCCGGTTCTCCGAACTGCTCAAAATTTCCGCTGCAGGTTCATCAGAACCTGCTGGATTTCACCCCTGTTCCAAGGTCCCTTCCAATTCCTTTATTGTGTTAATAACAGAGGATTGGTATATTTAGTCTTCTTAAAAACCTCCACTGATGGAGCACCCATAACTTCTGGAGGCAGGTCTTAATTGTTCTAGAATGAGCTCTGAAATTAGCTCAAAAAAATAACTCTCTTTTTGGATGGGTGGGTGGGACTCAAAAGGGGGACTCAGCTCTCCAGATGTGCTGGACTGCATCCCTTGTCAAGCCCCAACCAGAGTAGCCTGTGCTGGAAGCTGTAGTTTGGCAAATCCAGAGAATTTTAAATTGAAGATGATCTTCTGATCATCTGGATCAGAGTGGGGTGGGAATGGGGATTTTGCAGTATCCTTCTGCTAGAGTGGGGAGGGAATGGGGATTTTGCAGTATCCTTCCCCCGGAATGGGGAGGGAATGAGGATTTTGCAGTATCCTTCCCCTGGAGTGGGGAGGGAATGGGGATTTTACAATATCCTTCCCCCAGGAGTGGGGAGGGAATGGAGATTTTACAATATCCTTCCCCCATGAGTGGGGTGGGAATGGGGATTTTGCAGTATCCTTCCCCTGGAGTGGGGTGGGAATGGGGGTTTTACAATATCCTTCCCCCAGGAGTGGGGAGGGAATGGAGATTTTGCAGTATCCTTCCCTTGCCACGCCCACCAAGCCACGCCCACCAAACCGGTAGTAAAAAAAAAAATTGGATTTCCCCGCTGCATGCAGAGCTTCGCTCCCTCTTTCCAGCAGCCTCCCAGTGTGTTAAGTTTTCAAGTCACACACCTGGCAGGAGGGGAAAAAAAATGCAACCTTCCGGGACTATCAATTTATCTGACTCTTATTTATTTATTTATTTATTTATTTATTGAATTTCTATACCGCCCTACTCCCGAAGGACTCAGGGCGGTGCACAGCCATGAAATAAAACACATAGATATACAAAGATATACTCTTAGCTGCCATCACACACACACACACACACACACACACACACACACACACAAACAAGCAAACACCCCTCTGTGTTTGCAAGACCAGTTAGTCACAGCAAGGAAATTAATGCGGGTGTTTCTTTCACAGTTGGCTGATCTTCTTCGGTACACAATTGTCTGTCTTTGTCATTTAAAACAATACAAAAAGAAGAAAAAAAACCCCTCTTAAATTATCCACAGAAGTGACCTAGAAGACGAATACCTAACTCAAGTGATGGCAAACCGTTTCGACGCCGAGTGCCCAAACTGGAACGCGCCTGGGTGCGCGTGCCAGCGCTGGCTACTTGGCCTTTTGGTTTCCGGGCACACGCGTGCATGCTGGCCAGATGGAGCTTTGTGCGTGTTGGGAACCCGAAGATCAGGTGGCTGGTGCGTGCATGCACACCAGCCAGATGGTGTTCGGGTTTCCGAGGCTCCAGCGCGCATGAATATCAGATGGCCACCATGCGCGCACCAGAAACTGGTTAAGAAGCTGGCGACGGCGCACATGCCCACAGAGAGGCCTCCACGTGCATTGTAGCACGCATATGTTGTGGTCTGCCAGCAGCCTGCGGAGCTGGCAGCAGAGTCAGACAGTGAGGAGGCTGGGGAGAACCATGGGCCAGTCCTGGAGTCTGGGGAGGGCTCGGACGAGGACTCTGTGTCGGAGGCAGAGAAAGGGCCATTGGGAGGTACGTGCTGCCTCCGGAGCCTCCAGAGTCGGACCTCAGCACGGCAGAGGAACGCGGGGGGGGGCGTGTTCCCAGTGCACGCATGTGCAGAGTTGCCAAAAGGCAAGAACAGCTAAAACAAAAGGGACAACTCAGGAGTAAGGCTTGGAGATGATTGGCCCCTCCCATAAGATTTAAAAGAGGACCAAAGGCATGTGGGCCCTTTGCAGGAAAGCAACATTGTTAATTCTGTTCCCAGTCCGCATCTCTGTTTGATTCTGAACTCCGTGGGGCTTTGCCAATTATGTCTTTGGCAGCGTGTCAAGGGAGATAAAGGTGGGTGATGATCAGCCTTATCCCGAAGGACTCTTTACAACTAATTTGGGACTCCTCTGCGAATGAACCGAATTCCCAGCTGTTGCAATAAAAGAGGTTTTTGGGACTACTCGTGTGTTTTACTGACTCAGGAAGCCTAGGTCAGAACAGCCTAAAAGGTTCATACAAACCAAGAAGGTCTTTGAGCTGGGGCAGAGGGCTGGAGTTTGGGGAGTGGGGCAGGGGGGAGGGATGAGTGTCATACATACCTGAAACCCTTGGACCAGGATACGGACCGTGTCTCCGACGCGGGCTCTTGTTGGGGTCATCAAAATTTTGGGACCCTTTGGAGCCACTGCAGGAAAGAAGAAATGGGTTAATCCTTGGTGTTCTCCTGTCTCCCCCTCCCCATTTTTTCCCCACTCTCCCTGCGAGGCTTGACGACATTTGAGCTTGCCAAAGATACTCTGAGTCCTGCTGGAGAAGGGCGGTATACAAATTAAAACAAATAAATAAATAAAACTCTGCCTTTAACATAATAATACAGCTGGTCGTCGATTTACGAGCTCCCCAATGGAGCTCAACGTTTATGCTGCCAAGTGAGACAGTTGTCGGGCTTTGTCCCGCTTTACAAACTTTCTGGCCACAGTTATGAAGTGAATTTTTTTTAAATTAGTCACGCGGTCATTAAGCGAATCTGGTTTCTCCCCCCCGCTGACTTTGCTTGTCAGGAGGTCTCAAAACGGGACGAGGGACAGTGCGATGGTCATAAATACGAGCCAGTGGCTAAACGTCTGAATTTGGATCATGTGACCCTGGGGAGGCTGCAACCGTCGTAAGTGTGAAAAACACTTTTTACTTTTAGTGCTGTTGTAACTTTGAACGGTCACTAAATGAACTGTTGTAAGTCGAGGACTTATCTGAATGTGAAAGGGGTTGGGTATGCCTTCTACACCCGCCACACCCAAGAGGGTTGTTATGTGAGACCAGTTCCAGCCATCCATAACGAGGTTAAAACACATTGTGTGACTGTCGTCTTCCTTTCTCTGCGGATTCTCCGAGGATCTAAGATAGACTTGACCGCAAAATGCTCTCCCACTCTTTAGTCGAGTTTAGACAATATACTTAACCTGGTTATCGGATGTACACAAGGTTAGATACAGGGAATCGACTTGTGACAGTACGGGTAGTCCTCGACGTACGACCGGGGTGGAGCCCAAAATCTAGGTTGCTAAGTGAGACGTTTGTTAAGTGAGTTTGGGCTCCATTTTACGACCTTTCTTGCCACGTTTGTTAAGCGAACCGCTGCGGTTGCTGTTAAATGAGTCACACGGTTGTTAAGCAAATCTGGTTTGCTTGTCAGAAGGACGCTGCGACCGTCATAAATGTGGATCAGTTGCCAAGCCAATTTGAGTGCAAATCACATCATCGTGAGAATGCTGCAGTAGCAATAGCCCTTAGACTTATATACCACTTCACAGTGCTTTATAGCCCTCTCTAAGCGGTTTACAGAGTCAACATATATTGCCCCCAACAATCTGGGTCCTCATTTTACACACCTCGGAAGGATGGAAGGCTGAGTTAACCTTGAGCCCTGTCAGGATCGAACTGCTGGCAGTGGGAATGCAGAGTTAGCCTGCAATACTGCATTCTAAAAGGAAGGAAGGAAGGAAGGAAGGAAAGGAAGGAAGGAAGGAAGGAAGGAAGGAAAGATAGCAATAGCACTTAGATTTATATACTGCTTCACAGTGCTTTTATAGCCTTCTCTAAGCGGCTTACAGAGTCAGCCTATTGCCTCTACAACGATCTGGGTCCACCTCGGAAGGTTGGCAGGCTGAGTCAACCTTGAGCCCTGTCAGGATCGAACTGCTGGCGGTGGGGAGAGTTAGCCTGCAATACTGCATTCTAAAAGAAAGGAAGGAAGGAAGGAAGGAAGGAAGGAAGGAAGGAAGGAAGGAAGGAAGGAAGGAAGGAGAGATAGCAATAGCACTTAGATTTATATACTGCTTCACAGTGCTTTTACAGCCCTCTCTAAGCAGTTTACAGAGTCAGCCTATTGCCCCCCCCTAAAACAATCTGGGTCCTCGTTTTACCGACCTCGGAAGGACGGAAGGCTGAGTCAACCTTGAGCCTGGTGAGACTCAAAATGTCGAACTGCTTGTTGGCAGCCGGCAGTCAGCAGATTTAGCCTGCAATACTGCTTTCTAACCACTGCGGCTCACTGCAATGGTCGTAAGTATGAAGCATGGTCCTAAGTTGCTTTTTTCAGTGCCGTTGTAACTTCGAACGGTCACTAAATGAAACTGTTGTACGTCGAGGACTAGCTGTGACTGAGCCCACATTTCGATCATGGCAGTCGTGAAGCAGGTGATTGGCTCTGATTTTGCGGCAGTCGTTAAACAAACACGGCGGTCATAAAGCAAACACCAGAATCATTGGTTGTTTGTTACGGGGCATTTTTTGCTGGAAACTTTAAATGCTGGTTGACAGCCAAAAAAACCCAAAAAATCAATGGGAGGCTGCAAATATTGGGTGCCAAAATGTGCCTACATGACACTGGGGTGTGTGTGCGGGCAGACGCTGTATCTTCGGTCGGTAAGTGACTAGTCATAAGTTGAGGACTAACTGTAATATACAAAACCAAAGAGGGTGAACCAGGGGTGAAATCCAGCAGGTTCTGACAGGTTCTGGAGAACCGGTAGCGGAAATTTTGAGTATAGTTTGGAAAAATACCACCTCTGACTGGCCCCAGAGTGGGGTGGGAATGGAGATTTTGCAATATCCTTCCCCTGGAGTGGGGAGGGAATGGCTGGAGTGGGGAGGGAATGGGGATTTTGCAGTATCCTTCCCCTGGAGTGGAGTGGGAATGGAGATTTTGCAATATCCTTCCCCCAGGAGTGGGGGAAGGAATGGGAATTTTGCAGTATCCTTCCCCCAGGAGTGGGGGAAGGAATGGAGCTTTTGCAGCATCCTTCTTCTGCCACCAAGCCCCGCCCACCAAGCCACACCATGCCTACTAAGCCACGCCCACAGAACTGGTAGTAAAAAAATTTTGGATTTCACCACTGGGGTGAATTCCTGCAACCTATTTAGGATTAACCATCATTATCTAACCGAGGTTAAAATGGTCTCATCCAGTAGTGATATTCATCTGGTTCGGGAAAACTGGTAGCGGCGGCTGCGAGAGGCTCTGCCCACCCATTTTTGACACTCTGCACATGTGCGCAGGCACACATGTGCGAACCGGTAGCGAAATTAACTATCACCTCTGGTCTCATCTTAGCCAGTTGTGGTGAGGGCATCTGTTGGATGGTAAGTGGTGGTGGTGGTGGGTGAAGGCAGCCCTCGGCTCCGTGGGGCTTGCTCTTGGGGGAGCCCAAGGATTGAAAGGCAAGGATGCCACTTCAGTTGGTCACGGTTCCCAGCCTGCCAACAGTTTTAGCAGCTCAGCAATGCTTGTCTCAAATAACAGAGCAATTTTCTGCTCAAAAGCCAGCCGGTCGTTTGAAAAAAAAAATCCAGATAGAACCGTCTTAAGAGATATCAAAAGCAAAAACGGATGTTAAATATAATTTAAAGGGACACCTGAAAAAGTCTTCCGCAGAGATGCAGGCCATAAAAGGGACGGCGGAGGAGGAGACAGGAAACACCCACCCACCCCATTTTTCTCCAATTGTTTGCGGAGAGATTAAGGGGACCTGTCCTGATCCTAGGACAATTGACCTATAATCCGGAGGTGAATGGGACAATCTTCCACCTTGCCACAAAATTTAGAAATTTCGCTCCGGGTGCTGGTAACATGTTCCTTTCTCTGCTGTTGCCAAGGATGGGATTCAGCTGGTTCAGACAAGTTCGGGAGAACCGGATGCTAATTTTATATCTGGTTCGCCGAACCGTTAGTTTCAAGGATTGGCTGGCCCCGCCCGCCCTGTTGTGGTTCACCAGCAGACTGTGGAGCTGGCAGCGGAGTCGGACAGTGAGGAGGCTGAGGAAGGCCCGGATGAGGGCTCTGCGTCGGGGGCAGAGATGGGGCCAGGGCCATCGGGGAGTGATGTGCGGACTCCGGAGCCTCCAGAGGCTGACAGTAGAGAGGCAGAGGAACAGGAGGAGCCTGTTCCTAGTGCACGTACGAGAAGAGCTGCCGGAAGGCAGGAGCAGATAAAGCAAAGAGGACGACTGTTCCAGCAGTGGAATAGGATTATCTTGAAACTCCCTCAAAAAAGTGGTGTTAAAAGTGGTGTTAATACACTTTTCCCCAAAAGGTTTCCACAATTTTGTCCACGACTGTAGAGGCTCATCTACCAAGAAGGAAGTTGGCACCTCCTGAATTGCAGTTTCTGGAACTAGAGCTCTATCCAAGAAGGTCCTTAGTTTGAAGGATGGTGTGGTGATCGGTCTCAGGTCTTGGCGCTAAAAAAAAAACCCACACCGAATCTGACGAGTCGGCAGAATGGGTGGCTTGAGGAGACGGTGTTTATCTGCAGGAAGAATTTGCAGGACTGTCGCTGAGTCAACACCAGGCTCCACTGGAGCTCTCCGCGGTGCTGAAACATCAGCTCCCTTGAGGACCCATCACACCAAGGTAGAACTTACGAGAGGTTGCCAACAGTTCATTAATACTGATTGTACAAGCAAACATCTCTCTGATCAAAGGCTTCGGGGCAGGATTACGGTGAATGCAGCTTTCCTTCTAGCCTGCTTTTGGGCGGGTGGGGGGCGCGGAGAGGGGTTCAGCCGGTTTCCCTCAACCCCAATTCTCTCCACTTCCTCCCAAAGAGTAGGGGATTGGGATTACGTAACTGGCATCCTTTTCCTACTGGAAAAACGGGCCTGTAGTTTCCAGAATGCTTACTGAGAAAATAAACACGTCCACACTTCATTTTTACCGGCCGACTTTGAATTACTATCCCTCTACTAAAAAGCGAGTTCTTATGTCCTGAAGACCAATGAAGAAGACCATTTGAAGCATAATTCACATTATGTTACTACCGGTTCGCCCCGCACGCACACGCTCGCTACGTGTACACACACATGCCAGTGGTGGGTTTAAAATTTGTTTACCACCGGTTCTGTGGGTGTGGTTTTGTGGGCGAGGCATGGCTTGGTGGGCGTGGCTTGGTGGGTGTGGCAGGGGAAGGATACTGTAAAATCTCCATTCCCTCCCCAATCCAGGGAAAGGATACTGCAAAATCCCCATTTCCTCCCGATCAGCTGGGACTCAGAAGGCAGAGAATAGATGGGGATGGGGCCAGCTAGAGATGGTACCATATTTTTCAGAGTATAAGATGCACCAGAGTAGAAGACGCACCTACCTTTTTTGGTGAGGAAAGAAAGAAAAAGAAAACTCCCTCTGCCTCTGCCCAATTTTGCCTCGTTGCCGCAAACAGCCTGCTTTACTTTCAGTTTCGTTTTCAGCATAGCTTGATTAGCACGAGGAAAAAAAAATATGCTACAGCTATTTACTTCTTTGCAGCAAGCAGCAGAGCCCTGCGCAAAACAGCTGAGAGCAAATCAGCTGAGAGTCGGGAGGCCGATCCAATCAACTTGTGCTAATGAGGCTGTGCTGAAGTTGAAAGGAGCTGTTTTTTTCTTGCTGTTTGCTTGCAAGGAGGTAAATTGCTGGGAGGCAGAAGCCAAAGGGTGGGGACCAGTGGGTGGGCAGGAGTACATTCGATGTATAAGATGCATCTAAATTTTCACCCCCTTTTAGGGGGGAAAGGGTGCGTCTTACAGTATACTCCGAAAAATGCGGTATTTACCGGTTCTCCAAATTACTTAAAATTTCCGCTACAGGTTCTCCAGAACTGGTCAGAACCTGCTGAAACCCACCTCTGGTGCGCGCCTTCTGTGTATGTGCCCCGCTTCAAAAACATGCCTAAATAGGATGGCAAAATAGGACGGGCCCACCCGTGATTTCCACTACCGGTTCGGGTGAACAGCTCCGAACCGGTTGAATACCACCTCCGATTTGAAGCCAAGAGTATCTACACTGCAATAACCTGAATCCTTTTGAGATCTTCTTCTATCAGCAGCACAGAACAGAATGTCTTGTTAGGAGTATTTTTGCTGCCAACGATGGTATTTCTACATTTTTCCCCCATTCCCCAAGGCATTTATTTGCCAAGGAACAGATCCATCATTGAAAACAATGCATCGGAACGGTGAAAGCAGGGGTGAAATCCAGCAGGTTCAGAAGTTAGCAGAACTTCTGAAGCAGAAGTAGCAGAAATTTTGAGTAGTTCAGAGAACCGGAAAATGCCACCTCTGGCTGGCCCCGGAGTGGGGTGGGAATGGAGATTTTGCAGTATCCTTCCCCCTGGAGTGGGGAGGAAATGGAGATTTTGCAGTATCCTTTCCCCAGGAGTGGGGAGGAAATGGAGATTTTGCAATATCCTTCTCCTGGAATGGGGATTGAATGGAGATTTTGCAGTATCTTTCCCCCAGGAGTGGGGATGGAATGGGGATTTTGCAATATCCTTCCCCTGGAGTGGGGTGGGAATGGAGATTTTGCAATATCCTTCCCCTGGAGTGGGAAGAGAATGGAGATTTTGCAATATCCTTCCCTCAGGAGTCGGGAGGGAATGGGGATTTTGCAGTATCCTTCCCTCAGGAGTGGGGTGGGAATGGGAATTTTGCAATATCCTTCCCCCAGGAGTCGGGAGGGAATGGGGATTTTGTAGTATCCTTCCCCTGGAGTGGGGAGGGAATGGGGATTTTGCAGTATGCCCACCAAGCCACGCCCACAGAACCGGTAGTAAAAAAATTTGGATTTCACCACTTGGCGAAAGTAATTGAGGAGGAATTTCAATAAAGCAAAACAGAACACAGAAAAAAAATATCTGGAATTTGCAGAGGGGGAAAGGGAGTTTCTTAGCACAAGGCATAGCATCCTGTAACTCTGGGAAAAAAATAATAACCTGTGTTTGGCGGGAAGTTTTTTTTTTTTTTAAGCTCCAAGATGGCTTCGGTCTAGTCAGCTTCTGGACCGAAGCCGTCTTGGAGCTTCAAACTGTTTGCAGTTTTGCTCTAAGATTATCGAACTGAGTCAAGCTTACTTGTTGGTTAAAAGGGCCTACTCGTCTAAGATGTCTTTAGATGAATTCAGATCGATTCCCTGTCTTGTTTCAGTGCAGACGGACCTTTTAAAAACAAAATCCAATCCTGCCTGATGATCAGAATCCTCCATCGGCAATCCATTCAACTGAACGGAGTTTGAGATGGATTCCTCTCCGGGATTGGCAGGGATTCTTGAGTAGAATAAGAGAATAACAGAGTTGGAAGGGACCTTGGAGGTCTTCTAGTCCAACCCCCTGCTTGGGCAGGAATCCCTCCACCACTTCAGACAAATGGTTATCTAACATCTTCTTAAAAACTTCCAGTGTTGGAGCATTCACAACTTCTGGAGGCAAGTGGTTCCACTGATGAATTGTTCTCACTGTCAGGAAATTTCTCCTGAGTTCTAAGTTGCTTCTCTCCTTGGTTAGTTTCCACCCATTGCTTCTTGTCCTGCCCCTCAGGTGCTTTGGAGAATAGCTTGACTCCCTCTTCTTTGGGGCAGCCCCTGAGAGATTGGAAGACTGCTATCATGTCTCCCCTAGTCCTCCTCTTCATTAAAGTAGACATACCCAGTTCCTGCTACCGTTCTTTCTATGTTTTAGCCTCCAGTCCCCTCATCGTCTTTCTTGCTCTTCTCTGCACTCTTTCTAGAGCCTCCACATCTTTTTTACATCGTGGCGACCAAAACTGGATGCAGGATTCCAAGTGTGGCCTTACCAAGGCTTTATAAAGTGGTATCAACACTTCACGTGGTCTTGATTCTATCCCTCCGTTTATGCAGCTTAGAACTTACCAAGGCCTTAACAAGGCACAGAGACTCAAGTCGATTTAGAATCTTTTCAAGTCGTGAGTTTCTTTCTTCCTCGCCAGCCGTCATTTTGACCAAGCTCTATTATTCTGGATGTGTTAAGATTAATGTCTCCCTCAGCCAAAGGCAGTTTTTCCACTGGGGGATTAACATAAAAGGTATTTTGTCTTTAATATGTAAATGCCGGGTTTGACAGAGACAGAGGAGCCCTTATAAAGACCGCAACTCAATGAAGCGTTTGATCAGGGTACCCTTCCCCGGATTAGCGCCTTAAAGAACATCAGGTAATCTTCTCCTAGCTGGGGCTAAGAGAAAGGAGGGCCAAGATAGGAGCTGGATCAAGAAAATAATGTTTAATCGCTTCTCTAAAGTGATTAAGGACTCTTTTGATGGAGATTTCGCCCCGCTTTCCCCCCCAGCGCCTGCACGAGAGGATGAATCCGAGAAAAGACAGCAAGGCTGATCAACGGTGGAGCTTAGGCACTCCTGGTGTAAATACTACTCAAAACGGATTGCAAAGGGAGCAACGATGCCATCCATCCATCTATTCCCACCTCCCCTCCCAAACCGGCAGGCTTGGCAGCCAAAGACAGACTTCTGAATAAAACCTCCCACCTCCCCCCACTCCGTCAAATCTCTGTGTCCTGAACTGACACTCAAATCCTTTTGAAGGTGACGTGTTCGAACGCTGCTGCTTGCCAGTGGGGGAGGGGGAAATAAAATAAAAGGACGTGGAAGGAAGGATGCTAAAGCCACCGGCTGCCTCTCTCGACTCGGAGGCTGGCAGGGAGGTAGCAAATTAGGGAGACCTGTCCAGGTTCACTCCTCCCGTTGGTTCCTGGATGGATGGCAGACAGGAAGGAATGCTTCCTTCCCTTTTCTTTTATTGCTCGGGATTTCGTGCCTGCCAAGGTTCATTAGCTCGGAAGGGTTTCACCACGAGCAAGAATAAAAGGCGAGAGAAATTCGGCTTCGGCTTCTTTTCACGGCTGCCTTTTAAAAAAAGGGGGTCCTAGATTAATGAGCCAGCCAGGAAGGTAGAACAAAACGGAGAGGAGAATAAATATATAGGAATGAAGAGTGCGGGCTTTTGTTTAAAAAAAAAAAAAAGAGAGAGATCTTGGTTTGGAAGAGATATCAGAATTATCTTCTTGTTCCTGTGAATGGCACCGGGAACCCATTAAATTTAATGAAAGGGCGAGCAGGCAAAGGTCGGAACTCAAACGGAAGCTGTAATCTTCTCCGGAGCAGGAAGAGAGGAAAAAGGGAGAGAGAAGGGAAGAGGGGAGAAGCCCCTTTTGGGGGGCTTCCATTCCTGGTGGGACGTATTTGTTTCTTTCCCTGGATCAGGACACCCTTCTCAGGACTATAAAATGAGAGGTAATCTTTTCCTAGCTGGTGTTAAGTAAAAGAGGACCAAGATAGTAGTTGGATCAAGGACTGTAGTTGGATCAAAAGACTAGATCAGGACTGTCCAACCTTGGCAGCTTTAAGACTTGTGGACATCAACTCCCAGAGGCCCACAAAGGTCTAGATCAAGAGTATCCAACCTGGGCAACATTAAGACTTGTGGACATCAACTCCCAGAGGCCCACAAAGGTCTAGATCAAGAGTATCCAACCTGGGCAACATTAAGACTTGTGGACTTCAACTCCCAGAGGCCCACAAAGGTCTAGATCAGGAGTATCCAACCTTGGCAACATGAAGACTTGTGGACATCAACTCCCAGAGGCCCACAAAGGTCTAGATCAGGAGTATCCAAACTTGGCAACAGTAAGACTTGTGGACTTCAACTCCCAGAGGACCACAAAGGTCTAGATCAGAAGTATCCAAACTTGGCAACATTAAGACTTGTGGACTTCAACTCCCAGAGGACCACAAAGGTCTAGATCAGAAGTATCCAAACTTGGCAACATTAAGACTTGTGGACTTCAACTCCCAGAGGACCACAAAGGTCTAGATCAGAAGTATCCAAACTTGGCAACATTAAGACTTGTGGACTTCAACTCCCAGAGGCCCACAAAGGTCTAGATCAGGACTGTCCAACCTTGGCAGCTTTAAGACTTCTGGACTTCAACTCCCAGAGGCCCACAAAGGTCTAGATCAGGAGTATCCAATCTTGGACTTGAACTCCCAGAGTTGAGACTCCATGCTGGGGAATTCTGGGAGTTGAAATCCACACGTCTTAAAGTCTCCAAAGTTGGACACCCCTGGTTGAGGTAGAGAGAGAGAGAGGACCCCTGAGGTCTCTTGAAAAGAATATCTCACTCTCCAAAATGGTCTCCTGGATCTTCTTGAATGCTTCCTAAAGCCACCCAACAAACACCCATGCAAAAGATGCAGACAACCCATGCCGTGAGGTCCAAAAGATTTGGGATGGGCCTCAATTATTTCTGCAGACACCTTCCCCATGTCCCGCCCACCCACCCACCCACCCAGGAAGTGGCTTCAGGGCCTCTTACCTAGAGTCACTTCGGACTGCATGGGCATTGAGAGGGCATCGTGCTTGACCTCACAACTAAAGAGCGCGTCATTGTCTATCTGAGGATTAAGGGTCCACATAAGCATGGCCCGCACCTCCACGGTGCCGTCGCTGATGGGGATGTGGGTGTGGTGGAAGAAATACGTGGGATCGGCATTCTGGATCCACCGCGGGAACTCCCGGCTCACCACAGTCTCGGGAATATTCTCGGTGGTAGGGCTGAGCAACAGTCCCCGGTCGGGAGTGAGGCCTTGGAAGGGTTCCTCGGTGTAGAGCCTCCCGCCCCGGTCTTCCACGTTCAGCAGCGAGAGGGACCGCTGCATCTTGGTGTCGTCTAAGTCCCGATGGAAGAGGTTCCGGGCAGCTCGGCTGTCCTGCAACCCGGCGGCGTTAACCGGCGGCTCCGTCAGAGCGATACCCTGTATCAATTCTCCGTCCCTTTTAAAGTAAACCTGGAGGAGGAAAATATCAAGAGATTAAAAAGACTCTTCCCTTCCTAGTTGAGGATTTTAGGCACAGTCTAGAAAGGTATTGTTCTGACCCAGCTCCCCAAACACGACAAACCCTCTGAAGTGAACTCAAAAGATTCCTTTAATTAGGAGCGCCGGCAAAAAGGTTCTCTCTCACCGCAGGCTAACAAGTCCGTCTATCCGGAAGATGAATACTTGTCTGCCACATCTATTCATCTCCGCCCCCTGCCTTTTATCCCCAGAGCTAGGATGGGGGCTTCATTAGTAGCAGTGGCTCTTCCATCCCGAGGACCGGCCCATTGATTTCCACTGCTCTCCTCTCCTCTGCCTTCTGCGCATCTGCAGTCAGGCACTGGACCCAGCTGTTCCTCCTCCTCCTCATCAGCCACCTCCAGCCACTGTTGACTCTCCATCTGAGGGCTGACGGACAGCCCAGGCTCCGCCTCCGTCTCTCTCTCTCTCTCTGACGGCTCCATTCCCTCTTCCCTGTCGGAGCTCTCAGGTTGCCTTGATGCTGACCCTGACTCCCACACCTCCTCCTCCTCCTCTGATTCGGCTGCTGGGGAGGCCGGCACCCGACAGGCCACAATAGGTATAGAACAGTGGCCCCAAACCTTTGGGGACCGGTCCCACAGTCATAAGTCCCTTTTTTCAGTTCCGTTGTAACTTTGAATGGACGTTAAATGAACCTTTGTAAATTGAGGACTACCTATACGTTCCTGAGCAGATTTTAAATTCTTTCATTTCTTTTTTTTTTTTTTTTTTTTTGTTCCTCAAGAAATGCCTGACTAGGGAGAGCCGATTTACAGAAACGAGGCCCAAAGTTCGACCTGATAATATCTGAAAAAAAGTTAAGACCACATTGGGTGGAGTGTGGACCATCAGGATGAAAATTTACGGCCGCTTCAAATTCAAGACAAAAGTTTTATAAGAAACCAGTTCCTCTAAAAATTCCGCTAAAACATACGATGAACGGTGATTACAGGAACTGGGCCTGGCTAGTTAGTGAAGAGAAGGACAAGGGGAGACAGGATAGCAGGCTTCCAATATTTGAGGGGCTGCCACAGAGAGGAGGAAGGGGGTCAAGCTGTTGAGACTCTAGAAAGAGTGCAGAGAAGAGCCACAAAGAGGATTAGGGGACTGGGGGCTAAAACATACGAATAACGGTTGCAGGAACTGGGGATGTCTAGTTTAATGAAGAGAAGGACTAGGGGAAACATGATAGCATCTTCCAATATCTCAGGGCTTCCACAAAGAAGAGGGAGTCAAGCTATTCTCCAAAGCACCTGAGGGCAGGATAAGAAGCAACGGGTGGAAACTAATCAAGGAGAGAAGCAACTTAGAACTAAGGAGAAATTTCCTGACCGTTAGAAAATTAATCAGTGGAACAACTTGCCTCCAGAAGCTGTGAATGCTCCAACACTGGAAGTTTTTAAGAAGAGACTGGATAACCATTTGTCTGAAATAGTGTAGGGTTTCCTGCCTGAGCAGGGGGTTGGACTAGAAGACCTCCCAAGGTCCCTTCCAACTCTGTTATTCTATTCTATTCTGTTTTCCAAGGCACCTGAAGGCCGGACAAGGAACAATGGATGGAAACTGAAGAAGGAGAGATTCAACCTGGAAATAAGGAGGAATTTCCTGACCGTGAGAACAGTCAACCGATGGAACAGAAGTTGCCTTCAGAAGTTGTGAGAGCTTCATCCCTGGGAGCTTTCAAGAAGAGACTGGGCTGCCATCGGTCAGAAACGGTGTAGGGTCTCCTGCTTGGGCGGGGTGGACTAGATGACCTTCAAAGTACCTTCCGACTCTGTCAACCTGTAACTCTAACGTGGAAACCCAACAGCGCCCACCCATCCACCCAACCGTGCCGGGGGAACCCACTTGCGTTGGCAGAGACGTCTCTGCCAACGAAATTATGGGACGCCACAGGGGGTCATGTTTGCATAGCTGGAGCAGTGAGGAACGCAACGCAACGTTTAAGTCCTTTTGAACGTCTCCTCGGAAGAGAAGATTGCCTTGCGTTTCCCCTACCACCACCCAAAGAAACACTTTTCAAGCTTCTAATGTCACGCTGTATTGAAACAGCCTCGGGAATGTTTGTGGATAAGTGAGGTGTATTTTTGTATTTTGTTTTGTTTTCAGGTGGAGAGATAGAAGCAGCCGCCAAAAAAAAAAAAATCTTTGTTCCTTGCTCCTCCTCTCTCTCTTTGAATGTTTTTTTTTTTTCTTCTTCTCCAAATGTAGATGTTTCCGACTTCTGAATTAATAAGCAGAAATTATTATCGGGATGCTTAAGATGCCAAGGCTTCCCGACTGTTTCACAACATCCCGTCTCTTTGTATAAAAATGATCCACCGGGACGAACATGATTTAAAAGGGAGGGTGGTGGGGGGTGGAAGGAAGCCAAACCACGAGGAAAAAAAACCAACAACTCCAGAAAGGATAAAATATATCTGCTTCCGAGGCTATGCAGAAAAGGATGTTGCCAAAAAAAATTCATTTTTAATAAGGTATGTCCTCGACTTACAATTGTTTGTAATAGAATTCTAGAATAGAATAGAATAGAATAGAATAGAATAGAATAGAATAGAATAGAGGAATGAAGAATAGAATAATAGAATAATAGAATAGAATGGAATGGAATGGAATGGAATGGAATGGAATAAGGAATAAAGAATGGAATGGAATAGAAGAGAAGAGAAGAAAAGAGAAGAGAAGAGAAGAGAAGAGAAGAGAGAGAGAGAAGAGGGAAGAGAAGAGGGAAGAGAAGAGAAGAGAATAGAATGATGGAGGAGGAAAGAAGGAAGGAGAATAGAAAAGGAATAAAGAATAGAATAGAATAGAATAGAATAGAATAGAATAGAATAGAATAGAATAGAATAGAATAGAATAGAATAGAATAGAATAGAAAAAATGGAATGGAATAGAATGGAATGAAGAAAATAGAATGGGATGGAATGGAATGGAATGGAATGGAATGGAATGGAATGGAATAGAATAGAATAGAATAGAATAGAATAGAATAGAATAGAATAGAATAACAGAGTTGGAGGGGACCTTGGAGGTCTTCTAGTCCAACCCCCTGCTTAGGCAGGAAAACCTACACCAGGGGTGAAATCCAGCAGGTTCTGACAGGTTCTGGAGAACCGGTAGCGGAAATTTTGAGTAGTTCGGAGAACCGGTAAATACCACCTCTGGCTGGCCCCCGAGTAGGGAGGGAATGGAGATTTTGCAATATCCTTCCCCTGGAGTAGGGAGGGAATGGAGATTTTGCAATATCCTTCCCCTGGAGTGGGGTGGGAATGGGGATTTTGCAGTATCCTTCCCCTGCCACGCCCACCAAGCCACGCCCACAAAACTAGTAGTAAAAAAATTTGAACCCCACCACTGGTGGCAGGAACTGGGTATGGAAAGTCTAGAGAAAAGAAGGAGTAGGGGTGACATGACAGCAGTATTCCAGTATTTGAGGGGCTGCCCCAAAGAAGAGGGGGGGTCAAATTATTCTCCAAAGCACCAGAAGGCAGGACCAGAAATAATGGAAGGAAACTGATCAAGGAGAGAAGCAACCTGGAATTAAGGAGAAACTTCTCCAGGGACAATCAACCAGTGGAACAGAAGTTGCCTCCAGAAGTTGTGGGTGCCTTATCAGTTTTAAGAAGACAACCATTTGTCTGAAATGGTATAGGGCAGTGATGGCTAACCTTTTTGCCATCGCATGCCAGGAGAGGGGGGGGGGGGGGGGGGGGGTCGTGTGCACGTGCCCACGCGCATGTGTGTGCAACCCCCTCCCCCCTCGCTCCTGGCACATGATGGCCTGGTAGGCCCGTTTTTCTTTTTTACCTGGTTCCAAATCCTCTCTGTGTATCTGGGAACGGCAAAAACAGCCTTTCCCATTCCCTTGGAGGCCCTACGGAGGCTGAAAGGGCCCATTTCCCAACTCCCGGTGGGACAGGAAGTGACATTTTTTGCTGTTCCCAGCCTCCAGAACCTCTCTAGGAGTCTCTAGGAGTCTCTCTAGGAGTCTCTGGAGGCTGGGGACAGGAAAAAACGTCACTTCCTGAAAATGGCCCAAAAATCAGGCATGCGCGCACCGGCCAGCTGGGCTTCGGGTTTCCGGTGCTCCGGCGCGCACACATGCACATGCGTTCCGGTTTGGCCACTCGGTGCCGAAAAGGTTCACCATCACTGGTATAGGGTTGGACTAGAAGACCTCCCGAGTCCCTTCCAGCTCTATTCTGATTGATTGATTGAAACCCCCGTCCCCTCTCCAAAATATTTGGATGCCCCTCTCAGCCAATTGGCTTGAGATCAGATTTTTTTTTTAAACTGAAATTCTGTAGGGATCACGGGTGCTCTTTCAACATGCTCTGAATCCACTGTGTTTATGGAACTTGGACTGCAGCGAAAACTGGAGACATGTCTCAAGAAGATGGATTCATGCCATCAGTCCTTATTTCAACATCTTGTAAGCCACAAAGGAGGTAATTAAAGCTGAAACGGAGACAGAGAGGTGTCGTATCGGGGATTAGAGGTGGAGATTCTTCTCCTTATTCCATGTTTACCAAAACTTACCGTGGGAGCAGGTTTTCCACCAGAGACAAGGCAGACCAAGGTAAAGTTCTGGGCTTGGTAGCGGCTGAATGGAGCTGGGGTGTCCGCAGCAATGACCGAGATGGATGTGGGAGGCGCTGGTGGGAGAAGGAAGAAGGTTCGTTACTCATCTGATCAACCATGAGCATCATATCTAGGAATGAGGTCAACTGGAGATGTTTCTCCAAGACTTCCTGAAGATCCTAGTGAAGATCCCCTGAGCATCACACCTAGGAATGAGGTCAACTGGAGATGTTTCTCCAAGACTTCCTGAAGATCCTAGTGAAGATCCCATGAGCATCATATCTAGGAATGCGGTTAACTGGAGATGCTTCTCTAAGACTTCCTGGATCCTGAAGATCCTAGTGAAGATCCCATGAGCATCACACCTAGGGATGAGGTCAACTGGAGAAGTTTCTCCAAGACTTCCTGGATCCTGAAGATCCTAGTGAAGATCCCATGAGCATCACACCTAGGGATGAGGTCAACTGGAGATGTTTCTCCAAGACTTCCTGAAGTTCTTAGTGAAGATCCCATGAGCATCACATCTAGGAATGAGGTCAACTGGAGATGTTTCTCCAAGACTTCCTGGATCCTGAAGATCCTAGTGAAGATCCCATGAGCATCAAATCTAGGAATGAGGTCAACTGGAGATGTTTCTCCAAGATTTCTGGGATCTTGAAGATCCTAGTGAAGTGGACTTCTCTCCAAAGTAGGGTGAGATGCACCAGGAACCCACTATAGTTCTAGGGTTCACCTGTCAGGTTTTCCCTCTAAAATGGGGGAAAACTTGCCCCTTTCACATCATCACATTGGCAACCTGGAGAACATCTAGAGGAAGATAGGAGAATGGATTGAAAAAAGGAGGCTTAGAAGCGGTGAGGGTCATTTTCTGGTTATTGCTAGAAATGGAGAATGCAGAATCCTCTCTTAAAGATGGAAACGGCAAGGCAAGATTAAAAAAAAATGGGCTTTTCACTACAGAACGGACATTTTTAGAGTGAACCAGAGTTTCTTTTCATTATTTACCGAGATTTATTTTTCCATGTTATTCCCCAACTCCCCAACTCTATTACTGAAGCGATAAAAGACACAAATGTTTTAAATTCTCTCTTAAAAATACATGCTCACCCTGGTAGCAATTACACATGGAGTAGTTAAGTTTCCGAGGATTTTTAAGTAGGACGTTTGGCTCAGATGGAGAGTTTTCTTGGGTTTTTTTTTTTTTCCCCCACTGGTGCTTTTTATGAGTTAAGAAATGCAGATCCAGCAAAGAATAAGTCAATACCTATTGTAGCAAAGTTTCTCTTCCACCGTGGTTATGATCATAAAATCATTCTTTTTTCTTTTTTGTAAGTGGTTTGAAAAAAACAGAAAGCTTTTCCTTCCAAGCTATGCTATCCTATTTAGCTACATTTTCTAAGCTGCGCGCATGTGTGCAAGCGGAAGGTAGCATGTGTGAGCAAAGCGTGTATGCATGTGCTCACCTTTTCGGTGCGCAGCGAACTGGTGGTCAAATTATGTGGAAACCCACCTCTGGACTAGATGGAATGGTTTATGATCAGGGCTCAGCAACCTGCGGCTCTGGAGCCGCATGTGGCTCTTTCACCCCTCTGCTGCGGCTCCCTGTCACTCAAAATATGCGTCGCAACCGCCAATGTATGACACCCGCCAGCACACGATTTTATTGAGCTTTTCAACCCCTGGTAGGCCAACCATGGATAAATCCAAGAAAAGAAAAGTTTCAGAAGAAAACAGAATGTTTAATTCAACTACATAGGCTAGTTTTGTGGCTGCTCAAGAAATCGTCAGGCACGGGAAGGGTTTTGTGACTCCCGGTGTTTTTTTTTTTTGGTGGGAAACAGATCCAAATGGCTCTTAAGGTTGCAGACCCCTGGTTTATTTATTTTATTTATTTTTATTTTTATTTGATTTATATGCTGCCCTTCTCCGTAGACTCAGGGCGGCTTACAGTGTGTTAAGCAATATGATTATGATTATGATGAACCCAAACTCAAATAATGGCTTGTTATGAAAACCATCCAGAGTAAAGGGGGATGGAGGTTAATAAAATAAATAAATAAATAAATAAATAAATAAATAAATAAATAAATAAATAAATAAATAATAATACCATTATTTATTTATTTGACTTCTACAGCATGCCCATCTCTGGATGGCTATAGAAATCAATCAATCAAAAAAAAAAAAACAAAAAAAAAACCCCCCAAACTATTATTTATTAAATAGTTATGACACCTATCTCCCCTATAAAGTGACTCTGGGAGGCTATCATAATAAGCCATCATCACTATTCTTACGTTCACCGTATTTTCAACACTTACGCAGAGCTGCTCCTCAAGGAATACAGCTTTGTGGGACACACCCTGCTGTCTTAACGCAGCTAGAACTCTCGTGGGGAGCCGCCCTGCTTGCATGGCCGTTGACCAAGAGAGATGGGACTTGTAGTTGGTCAACTTCTGGAGGACCACAAACCAGGGGTGGGATTCAGCCGGTTCGGATCGGTTCGGGCGAACTAGATGTTAATTTTAATCTGGTTCGCAGAACCGGTAGTTGCAAGAACTAGCTGACCTGCCTACCTCAGCCTTCCCAGGAGTCTCCACGTGGCCCATTTTGGATGCCAGATAAGTGCAGCGCCCGCACAGAGGCTCTGGGAGGGCGAAAAACAGGCCTACCGGAAGTACTGTCAGTCCGAAACAGGCCCATTTCCATCCTCTGAAGGGCCTCTTGAGCCCTGGGGAGGCCGTTTTCACCCTCCTGGAGGCTCAAGGAAAGCCTCCAGAGCCTGGGGAGGGCAAAAAATGGGCCTACTGGAAGTATTGGAAGTCCAGAAACAGGCCCTTCTGACCTCCAGAGTGTCTCTGGAGCCCGGGAGAGACCGTTTTTGCCCTCCTGGGGGCTCAAGGAGCCTGGGGAGGGCAAAAAATGGGCCTTCCGGAAGTGCGGAAATGGGCCCGTTTCCAGCCTCCAGAGGGTCTCCGGAGGGCCTCCAGAGCCCAGGGGAGGCCATTTTCACCCTCCAGGAGGTTTGACGAAAGCCTCCGGAGGCAGGGGAGGGTGAACACCCCACCACCACCATGGTGCAGGAAGCCGACTAGGCCACGTCAACATGGCCACGCCCACCCAGCAACCGGGCAAAGAACCAGTTGCTGAAATTTTTCAATCCCACCCCTGCCACAAACCCTTCCCTCCCGACAGAAGTTACGAAAGCCTCTGTTGAAATCCCAGTCGATGTTCTCCACCGTCGAAAACGTGCACGTCACTCAACTTTCCATGGGGTGTCCGTCTTCCTTTATTCAAAACCAGGTCAGCTCTGCAGGTTGGGAGCCCCAGCTGGCGAACACCGCTGCCGTGACACTAAAATTAGGAGAGCGGGTTGATTTATGACAAGCGATGGGCCGTGAACATCATTTGCTCCTCTGGCGGGATCTCCAGGGGCTGCAGCAATGCGAAGGAAACCGGACTCTCCAGTTTAGAGTCAGGATACAGAGAGAGAAGGGTGGACAGACGCCCCTAAGAAGTCGTGGTTGCACACACAACTACTTCCCTCTTGGCATCTTTTGGGGTGGAAATTGCTTCTTGGAAGACCCCTCCAGCTCAAACAATGGTCCTGCTGTATCCTCAGGCATTCCTCAAGGAGATTTCAAGAACTGCGAGCTTCTTCACTTCATAACTCATTCAATGGATACCACATCGTGCAGATTTGCATCCCCGGGCAAGAAAAATGGGTCAGGAAGAAAGGAAAGAGAAATTGTCCCAAAGAGAGAGAGAAATATATACTACGGGGGAGAAGAGATTAATGGAGAAAAGAGGAAGGGGGAGGGAAAAGAAAAATATAGATGCCCAAGCTCAGGAGTCTAGCTGCGGATTTAAATAACGGCGCAAAGCCACCTTATATACCGTGTTTCCCCGAAAATAAGACCTTGTCTTACATTTTTTTGAACCCTGAAATAAACCTTGGCCTTATTGCCATGCACTCAAAAGCCCGACTCGGCTTATTATCAGGGGATGTCTTATTTTGGGGAAAACAGGGTAGTAGAGTATAACAGTCGTAGCCCGTGGGTGATTTGTGCTCCTGCCATGAGAGGTTTTGCCGAATTTGGGGCATTTCGGCTTCCAAAGAAGCAGAGGAAGAAGGCGCTTGCCACAGCACAGCACAAAAACTCAAAGGACTTGGAGAGAAGGGGGGGGTGGCATCTGAGAGGACATCAAGTCTGATCCCCCCCAAATAGGAAATTCAAGAGCCTCTTCTTGGAGGGTGTGGCGCTCAAAAGGAACCATCCACCTGTTTAGGAAGATGCCTTCCATCATCTACTCTTCCTCCTAAAGCTCAGGTAGATTCTACCTTTCATGAAGCAGGCAGAGCAATTCCAGCAACGCTTGGTGGCCAGTTGGGGTGAGAGGAGAAGGCAGATGAATGAAGTAACATTGCTCTGTCCAAAAACTCTCCATCCTTTTCAGAAATAGCCACCAAACACAATTTTAACCCCCAAATTCACCCACAAGGTATTTCCACCAATGGAGCACGGATGTTTCTCTTCCAATGCTTCCACCAAGGAACTGTGGCTCAGGTAGACTACCCTTGAAGGAGGAGGTTCAGTCCCTTCTTCTACTTCTCCTCCTCCTCTTCCTCCTCCTTTTATTAGTCATATTTCTATGCTGCCCACTCTCCGAGGACTCTGGGCGGCTTACACCAAAGACAGTATACTAAATAGCATATTGCCCCCAACAATCTGGGTCCTCATTTTACCCACCTCGGAAGGATGGAAGGCTGAGTCAACCATGAGCCGGTGAGATTTGATCCGCTGATCTGCTGAACTAGCAGTCAGCTGACGTAGCTGCAGTACTGCACTCTAACCACTGCGCCACCTCGGCTCTTCACCTCCTTCCTTCTTCCTCTGATCTCCAAAAGATATTAAGGAGCAACTTGGAGAAGAGATTACTCTACACGGCCCTGAGCTGGGATCAAGTATGAGAAAGAAACTCAAACCAAACTCTCCTAGATGTTCTCCTGCATCAGATGAGACAGAGAGTTGTTTCGACAGACTTTCCAGATTCTGTTATTCTCCTTTATTAC